ACTGAAAGATTGAAAATTGACGGAATAATCTTAACTGTAAAATACTGTATGTTCAGAGTCCTCTTATGGACATATGTGCAAAACAAACGCATGCAAACTCTCTGTGGTTGCATTTAGCAAAATCATTTTGGCGGGAAAGCAAAACTGTCCAATCTATACTCTGTAATCTGTGGCCTGGACCTGGATTTATTACTGTCTGTAAATGCTTGAAGTGTGGCTTTTCCTAGTGGATTAGTATAATAATAATGCGGTCATTTTCTAATAGTTTGTCTTCCTCTGGCGATCGAAGATAACAATAGATATGCGCACTTTATAGATAATGCCTTTACTAACAGCACCCATAAAAGTTGAAATTTAAGAAATAAGTGCCTATAACAGCAATGAGTAACAGGCAGACCGCAGGCCGCTTGCAAACATGATTATGCGGCCCACCAAGCATTTTTAAAATTGAATTTATTTTATCAATTTTCTCCCATCAATATATACTAAACCGAAACATTTTTTTGTCACGTGTTACTCACTTGTCTGTAACTTGTTCAAACATGCAATACGAACGCTCCGCGTCTGTGCTTCGGTCGCACAGTCAGTCAGACTGGGTAAGCTTTTAACAAGCAATTTTAACAATTCTTGTGTTTCTTGAAAGGTATGAGCGCAACATTATTGTCCATAAGGTAAAATTAGAGTTTTTTTCCAAAATTAAGTTTTCCTACAAAATTAAGTTTTCCTACAAAAATGCCAGACTGAGGCACGAATAGAAAGCTGCGTACGTGTACCAACCTCATGAATTCCAGCTGATATTGATCAGCTTGTATCAAAAACAGTGCCAAATTTATCATTAAAAATTTCAATTAAATTCATTTTTCTGTTCTTTTGTTGTTTATTTTTATTTTGCATTAAATTTTCTATATGACACCTTTACTTCTTTTAAATTTTATATTTGTTTTATTATATATTATTCTATGTTTATTATAAATAAAGTTTTGTAAATTATGTGCGGGCTGCCAAAAAAAATTAAAAAGGTTGCTCTAAATAATACATTTTACACACCTGCATTGCCTGTTTTTGGGTGTACGTATTTTCATTTTCATCTGATAGTCTTCACGAAAATTTGTTATTATTGTATCTTTATACGAACCTCTTCTCTGGAATTGTAACCGGATCTGGAATCGTTGAAAATAATGTTTGCGCCGCAAACCAACTTTACTAAATTCGGTACAAAAAAGCACATTTTATCCCCTCTAGTAGAATTAACTGCAATAAACCTTTACATCATCAATTGGGCTTCTTTGAAACCTACACGTTTGTTCACAGACTACCTTAGTGCATTTTTGGAGCTTTGATGAAGTTGGAAATTAAAGTATCTGCTATTTTTAATATAGAATTTATTTGTTTTTCTTCTTTTTTAAGTTTTTCGCTTTTCTCCAGCTTTTATAGTGAGTTTCCTGCTTCTCTTCCATGATTGAACGATATATTTTCTTATTATGCTGCTGAAACTCGGCGTCTGCCAACAGCTCATCGACCAGAGTCTTCTTGACCTCCTTTTTCGTTAGCCGGTTGCTGTAGAAGTCCAACGGCGAGTCCATTACTTTACCAATCTAAACATGTTTGGGTTAGTAATTTTACCTCTTTTTCTCCTTAAATCGTTGCCTCTAACAAATTCACTTAGCGCTTGGTTAAGTGTTCTCGATTAGAACTGATCAATAACTAAATAAAGCTCTACCTGGAAATATTTTGGCAGAACCTTCAAGTCGCTTTTCTTGTAAAAATGTTTAGGATCCAAGACGGATCTCATTTGTACAATTTCCAAGTCATTCTTGACTTCATCGGTCATTTCTGTAGCTGGCATTCCAAACCAACCAGTGCCGTTCGTTTTTTCCTTTTCCTTCTGTAAGCCAATGACACAACAAAATATTTCAAATTTACATTGAGCCACACATTCGCAATAGAATGGGAAATTAAATACAAATAACCTTTTGTCGTGTATCATAAAGAGCAAGATAATAACGAACCCAACAGTTCTTCTCCTTTAATTTAGATCGATTCTTAACTAGAATTTGTTTGGGTAACTGCCTGAGGAAGCGATGTCCAAAAAATAACCTTCCTTTAAGACTCTCACGCATTGCAAACCGCAACTTTCGATCTAGAGCGAATAAACTACTTTAATTTTTTTTCAACAAACCTTTCTCTCTCGCAGAAGTTTCCTTTTTAATACCTCGTATGGAGGCACAGATGTCAGCTGTTCAAAGTCGGGCGTAACAACCGCTTTGCTTAAAACTTTTTGCACCTCAGACTGTAACTAACAAAGTTGGTGAAGTTTTAATTATATTTTACAGCAAATAATCATTAACCATAGTGGACCATCTATCCTTCCACTTCTGGTACTAAATATTATTTAAATAATGTTTGCATTTTGCAACATATAGCTTTAAGACCGAAATACTCCTGGCAAACTGAAAGCAGGCTACTTTTTCAAATAAATCCACCAATTTCAATTGATAATTTTAAATCTGAAGTTCCTAATGATAATGTGAGAAAAGTGGTTCAACTCTCCCTGCTTTACCCTAATTACATTTTAAACTTTGCTAAAGTTAAACTAAATTAAAAAGGTAAAGTGGATTTTTTGCCCAAATGGACTTACACCACTTTCAAAGAAAAGGACTCAAATATCCGCAGCTCATTAAGGAACTCCCCTGTATGTTCTGTTTACGTTACGCGTTTGAGGTTTCTTGTGAACTTTTCCCTGACACCTGCCGCCTTGATGGAAATAAATTAAAATTAAACTCTAAAACCATTACGGAATACATTGAAAATAGTAAACCTAAACAAGGCAGCGTTCGAATTGGGCTGGGAATCGATTCAAAGAAGGCATGATAATATTGATTGCAATGACCTAAATGTGTTCTCATTACCGGAAAAATTGTGCTAATCCTTAATAGGAAAACAGTGTATGGAATATTAAACTTAGAGCCCTTTTACACGAGGATACTTTTACCCGGCAACTATTGCTTCGGATACTCGTTTAACATACAGACTTATGGAACCATGCACACAGGGATACTTTTCACAATCAGTTTCGGCAACTGAATTTCGGTTTGCCGTGAATTCCAGTCGCCGGTAGTTTTACGACGTCCGGAGCCCGATTTTCTATGGGCCTTTATGGACCTGTTCGAATATGGACTTGCTACTTATGAGAACCCGGCTACTACTTTGCTGTCTTGCTACAAGTCTGTGACGAATCAGCGGGCAACTGTATCCTCGTGTAAAAGAGCTCTTATTGAGCTGGGAATTTAGCAGGAGGAAACTGCTTGATGTGTGATGTGGACAGGCAATACCGAAAATACCGCAATTTGATACAGCTACTGTAGGAAAAGACCATGTAAATACCAGTCACACTTTCTATATTTTCGACGGGGCTCACAATATCCTCTGTTCTGTGCTGGATTTCCAGCAAATGAATAAACCATATGGTTCCCAGCGGTTAAATGATTATGATTATGATTACCGTTATATTCCCAGGGACGATGTTCTTTTTTCCCGATTTTCCTATGAATCTACAGCTCAATTCGTCGACACTGGCGGAGGCAATTTGAAATCGTTCATGGTGTGTACCGAAAATTTCTTGTTTCAATGTATTTAGACAAGCCATAATTATCACCACAAAATATCCCCCCTATAGGGGGTATGTTCTGTGGTTATCACGAACGATAAATTTTGAACGAGCCGTTTATCGCAGTAGATCTTATTTTGTTCCGAAATGACTCGCATGCGCATAAACGCAGTACAACGGCGGGAAACGTAAATATGGGAGAGTTGTTTTGAGGTAAGGTTCACAGCTGACTTTCAAATGAACACTTAAATTTAAAAGAAAATACTTTATTTCTGTACAAATCTACAATTAAGTGGGATCATTATTGGCTGATGTACTAATATTTAGCACTGTCGCATTTTGACTTAACGATAACTTTATCACTTTTGCCTCGTTAGGCAAAAGCCGACAATTTTCAAGTTTCTGCTTCTCTTTATTTCGCTTACCATAAAATCTGGCTTGTGTCTCGATTTTTTTATTAATATTAACTTTTGTGCTCTCAAATTCAATCCTGTGACTACTGTGATTAATGAACAATTCAATAGATTTGTAAGTGTTTTTTTTTAATTTGGGCACGAACATCGTTAGACACGTTTGAACTATTATTGGCTAGTAAGCTGAACTAGTAAGGCAAAGTTCTAAAGCATACTTTAGTTCATTTTTTAATATGATTTCAGGCGGGAAGGATGTAATGTTCTCCGATGAAACTAAATTATCGGAAACGGCGTTTGCAGGGTTTTCCATGAAATTTGATGTTTTGTCAACATCATAAAAATATATACAACATGCATGTATATGTTTGCAAATGTTGAAGTTAATTACGTTATCGGCACAACTGCATCTAAAAGAATGCACGCAAATTTGACATTTTTCCCAATTCAATTGACAATTATTTTCACAGGCTGCATTACGTAACTTTTTGATATCATAAACATGCGTGTTATACGAGCATGTTACAGAAAAAGTATCCATATCAATTCTCACAATATTTTTTTCTGGAAATATCGCAGCACTCCTATGACTCTGCTTAATTTTTTTTAACTTAACGCCACATTTACCTTTTTCAGTATTGATTATCCGTTCGAACATTTTATCTCTTACTAAATTTATTAAACTATTAATAGTTTTATCAAGTCGCTTGCATCTTTTTCCTTCCAGGTAAAAATGTTTTATAACTTTATGCAAGGATTCTAAATACATATTGGTGTAAATATACCAGTGTATGAAGGCTTCCACGGCCGGTCAGATTACATTTAGGAATGTTTTCCGGGCTTTGAAGCCGTGGTCTATCGGAATTTCTTCCTGACGTTTCGTCCACAACTGCGGTGGACATTTTCAAAGGCGATGAGGCAGTGGGCGAAGTGATCTCCCGTGCTTTCCGACTAAGAATGATTCAACTGCTGGATTCCTAGTCGTATTTATGCCGCCCAGCCCTCATGAAAACGATCAACTGATGAAAAATCAGCAGTAGCGGAGCACGCGCTACTTGACGGCCACCAAATACGCTTCGACGAAGTTGACATTCTGCACCAATCTGAAAGATACTACCCGAGACTCACCAGGGAGGCCATCGAAATATTTAAACACCAAAACAATTTCAACAGAAAAGAAGGAATTACGGCACTCAATCCAGATTGAAAGCGCGTTTTGCGCCAAACAGCATGTGCGCCGAAGCGTTGGAACCCCCACCCATCCCCCACGCATGAGCACACAGGGCTGGGCGGCATAAATACGACTAGGAATCCAGCAGTTGAATCATTCTTAGTCGGAAAGCACGGGAGATCACTTCGCCCACTGCCTCATCGCCTTTGAAAATGTCCACCGCAGTTGTGGACGAAACGTCAGGAAGAAATTCCGATAGACCACGGCTTCAAAGCCCGGAAAACATTCCTAAATGTAATATACCAGTGTATTTTCTGAAACAATACGCCCATAACTGGGTACGATTTACATAAAACCTTTGGAAATATTCCCCAAATGTCAACGTATCGTTATCATTTAACAAATCTTGGCAAAAGTATTTAGTTGTTGTTTAAAAATGTCTTCATCTAGTTCAGTTTGAATTGACTAAAGCGCATGCGAGTTAGCTCGGAACAAAATAAGATATACTGCGATGAATGGCTCGTAAATTTTGATGCCCCAAGCAGATACCAAAAACTTTACTTTTGACAATTACCACCCTGCTGCAAGCAGCTACCACAGATCACAGAGGTTATAGATTGGAAACTGCAATATACGTTTGCAGAATGCTATTTGTCGCTTAAATCACCGGCTGCAATCAAAACTAAACTCTAATTTCCACTACTGGCAGAAGAAATCTTCTTTATCGATTGGGTTCACATCAAAATTTAGCGGGGTATTTGATTTCAGTTTATGACCTCTGTGATTTCCGTTGAAGTTTCAATAACATTTCAAGCATTTCACCATGCTCCTTAATTGTGATCTTTATGCTAGGGCTTCAATTAATATCACAATTAAAGGGCAATATGAGATATTCGAAATATTATTGAAACTTCATCGGAAATCACAGAGTTCGTAAAGTGAATTCAATTCGCCTGCTAAAATTGTGTTCGTGTGAAAACTAGGGCAAATCGGGAAAATAAAGCACATGAATTTATCTTTCCAACAGGTATTTATTAAACTGAAAAACCTAGAGATGTAATTTATATTGAGATTACATGAGTTAGATCGTGTAGTGCTTCAACAAAACTTGAAATACGTTTTATTCACATTAAATAATAAATATGTTGAA